GGTTATAAGCACCAATAAAACCCACCGCTTAACTATGTCTTGATTCCACCTTACCTCCTCTAACATCTTTTCATCAGTCTTAATGATTGTCATGTCAACTGATTACCTTAAATATTTTTTGAAAAGGCACCATCTGGTATAGGAGAGGTGACTCCTGGGTGGGGATTGTATACTTTGTGAGTGAACTCCATCCCACAGCCCAGGAGCTGGAGGGTCACCAAGCTTTGGAGTGTGTGTGGGGGTAGGGGCCAGTGTCTCAGCCCTCACTCATGCTGTGGTCCATGTGTCCGTAAAGAAAAGGAGAGCTGTGTTCACAGGCACATGGACTCAGTCCCTAGGACTTGTTTTACAGCTCTGCTCCCCTCAGTAGTAAAGGTTGTCATAGAGAGAATGGACAAGCTGAAGAGGAAGGAGCTGACATGGGTGACTTGGAGAACTAGCAGCAAGGAGAACACCCATTTATTGTAGACATTGGCTGGCACATAACAGACACTCAACAAATGGAAGGTACTAAGGCTCCTTGACTCAGGGTGTTGCAGGGACACGACACCATTTGGAAAAAAGTGCCTCTTCTTGTACATAATGTGCAGGGAATTTAGAGGTGCTGACAGTACATTAGGGATGCCAACTAGCATTCAAAACCTGTAATTATCTGCCACATTACTGTGATCATAACTGCAGTCCTCAGGTAGAGGGAGGCAGAGAAATGCACCTATTTTTTTTCATGTTTGGAAACTGAAGCTTGGGGACCCCATTTGTTGAGTAATGAGAGAAATGGTTTCAGGAAACTGGGATGCATTCATTTATTCACTCATTCATTTATTCATTCATTCACCAGGTCTTTATTCATCGTTGAGCACCTACTGCAGTTCAGGCCCCGCCCACTTGCTTCAACAACAGCCAAAGAGCCAGGCTGAGCCAGGTGGGAACTGAGCAGAATTCACCACAAACTAGTCTTTGTCCCTTGGCATGGCAGAGCGGCCCAGAAAAGAGGGCAGTGAGTTGCCATGCGTTGAATGCCTCCTGTGCCTTGTCAGATTTAATCACAAGAGTGTCCAAGCCAGGCAGGTTTTCTTTTGTCAGTTAACTGATGAGAAACAGAGATGGGAGGTGATGTGGCTGGGCCTGTGCTGCTCAGGCAGGATGTTGTAGAGGAAGGGTTAGAGTCTGGGTTATCTGGGGTCTCTGGTTTCCCCAACGCTGCAAAGGTGAGCTGGAGGCCAATTCTCTGCTATAGCCCAGCCTGGTGTGAATGCTGAATTTCCAGGCAGGCTGTTGGAGCCAGGGTCCTGACTTTGACAGCTGGTGACATCTTGCAGAGATCCCAGGAAAGCACCCTGACCTTTCCCACTCTGTATCTGCTCTGTATCTGTTCTTTCTCTTCATTCATTCACTTCTGTTCTCTACTTTATTGGTTTCACTTCTTATTTCCAGGGTGGTCTCTGCCAGGGGGTGATTCCACATTTTTCTAGCAGCCTGCGGTTTGGCTGTCCCCATGTCATCCTCAGACCCTGGGCCAAGTGGCCTGGCGTGTGTAAAGGAAAACGTCTAGTCCCAACTTCCCACCAAGTTCAAAAGGCAGCAGCTGCATCCACAGGACCTGAGGCTGTGAAGCCAGAGTCTGCCACTGTCACTATACTAAGGAACATTCCCACTCGATGGGCCTGCGGGTGTGAGGAGGGACTGTCGGCTGACACTGGTGTGGGAACAGCACCAGTGGGACCCAGCTGGATCACTCACCGGCAAGGTTAACACAGTTCCCAGGGCCTTGGGGTCTGCTGATCAAGGTGAAGCTTGGGGCTTCCGGTGCCGCTTTGGAACCCGAGGACTAGATTCAAATCCTAGCTCAACTACTTCCTAGTTCTTAAATATTTGGCAAGTTAACCAACCTCTTTGCCTTGGTTTCCTTATCTGTGAAGTGGGAATAATGGTAGTATCTACCTCAAAGGGGGCTGTGAGGATTAAATGAATTAGCCCATGTAAAGCATTTAGTTAATGCTCAATGAACATTATCAGCTCTTTTCTGGTCCTCTGCCATGTCCTCCGTTTCTGATTTCCATCCCACTCTTCACCTGTGCATCATAGGTGCTATTCAAGGTGACCATTTCTCATTGCCAGTCCTGGGTGACTGTCCTGAGGTGCCTCTCTTTGTGTCTCTCAATGCTTCCACATTTGAATTTGCAACCTGTATCACATGCACTACAGAGAACATCTGCCCTGGGTCCAGAATGCAAAACAAGGGAGAGGAAAGCCAGCCTCTTTTCCAGGCTTGGCTACCACAGGAACACCAGTGAGATGAGTCTGGTGTCCTGCCCAGCGGGCCAAGTGCCCAAACAGCCCTCCTACCCCTGGGTTCTTACCTGGAGGGCCTGGGAGCCGGGGTGATATGCAAAATATTTAACAACTCAGAGGGACCCTGAGGAATCAGACTCTGGCCATAGCGCTGAGCTTTTTAAAAAGTACTGATGTCCCTGATCAGTTTCCAGAGATATTGATTAAACTTGTCCCCAGTGTGGCCTGGGCACTGGGATCTTTTATGAAGTTTCTCAGGGTTGAGAACTACAAAATAAGTGAGGTAATTCAGGTAGTTTATGAAGGCCACCTAGGAGGACAATGTGATATGTAATAGAGAGTGATTAGCTGGGGGTGACCAGCAACAGACTCCCAGGGGTCATTCGATTTGAGAGTAGAAAGATGAGGAGGCAGCATGCAAGGAGCTGGGAAAGAAGCTTTCCACGCGGAGCGAACGGCAAGTGGCAAGGCTCTAGGACTGAAATGAGTCTGGAAAGTTCTAGGAGAAGCAAAAAGGTCTGTGTGGCTAGAATGTAGTGAGCTAGAGGGGAGGAGGGTTCAAGACCTTGTAAAATAGAGTAAGATGCTTGGGATTTTCTCCCAAGGGTGCAGGAAAGCTAAGCAGGGCAATTTCATGAACAGAATCTGGAAAACTTGCAGCTGCATGCATTTCATTTGCTCTCTAGCACTGAACCTCCCCACTGCTTGGCTGTTATCTCATTTTCTACAACATTGCCAAGGATTGGCTGCTCACAGCTGATGCTGGGTCGGTTTTGGAGAGGCCTCTTCAATATTTAAACATGTTGTCATGCCCCACCCAACTTGTATTCCATCCTTTATTTGCATTTTCATACTAACTTTCTAAAGGAGGTAGGTGGGTGTTTTCTCCATTTTGTAGTTGAGAAGTGGCTCATCCGTGTCCCCCAGGCTCTTGAGTAGCAGGCTCTGTGTCATCTGGTATCCATCCCAGAGCTCTTGCCCAGAGATGCTCATGAGGACGAGAAGCACCCACAGTTGTTATTACAGCAAGTAACACTCATGCCAACCCTGGATGTTGAAATGGAAAAGCTCAATCTTGGCTTTCCTTGAGCATGACAGCTTACCCTAGTAGTCTTCTTTGTAGCATCCAGCTTCTATTAAGTGCTAATTATTCTGATGAGCCGGCCATCCCTTCAGACACTGTCCAGCAGCTCCACTGTGACCACCTCATTTTAGGAATGAAGGCTCTGTGAACTCAATTGAAGGGGTGTTTAGCAGAGCCAACCCCTTGCCTTGGCTCACCACAGTGTTGGGCATTGGAGGCTGGGCCTGCCCTGCTTGGGTCCGTGTAGGCCACAGGGCAGATTCCCTACTGCTTGGCTGTCATCTCATTTTCTACAATGTTGCCAAGGATTGGCTGCTCACAGCTGATGCTGGATCGGTTTTGGAGAGGCCTCTTCAATATTTAAACATGTTGTCATGGCTGGAGCATTTGTGTCTTTCTTAATGCAGCTCTTAGACCCTCTTGGTAGCCCCATTTCCCACCCGTGTTTCTAGGGGGAGGTGGGATTACAGAGGAAGTGGTGAGGAAGACAGAAAAACACACAAGGGACCTTTGATGTCTCTGTTGGTTGGTTTTGGTTAAACACAACTGGAGAAATTCTAGGCAAACTGGATGATCTGGGGATGGATGGCTCTATTCACTGGATGTGGAAACTGCCCCCACTACCTGGACCATAAGGATGGAAATGAACCTCCTACCCTCATCATGAAGCCTAAATGCAAAAAAGCATTGCTTCTAGGCAGTAGACATGGAAACCTCCCATTGTTGTAGATTGCTTGCCATCAGAACAAGGCCTCTAGTTTTTTGCTTCCTGGAGGGGTGGCAGAGAGTGCTGCGCAGCCCTAGGTCAGAGCTTGGGTACCCAAGAGGAGCTGCAGTTCTCTGGGGTTACCCTGCTCTTGGTGGATGCCAATGGGAAGAGCCCTTGAAAGGGGGAGGAAGCAGAAATATAAGATGAGGATGGGAGAGATGACATCCAGCAGCCCTGGGGAGAGACAGGAGGGCAGGGGCAGGCTCTCAGTGTCATTGGGGGTGCTATAAAGGGCATTAAGGAGGCAACACACATGTCTGAGTCCCATCTGACGCATCATTCATGCCTGTTCCTGCTCCATCCATTCTGGAAGTGGAGCCTTAATTAGGCATGAAGAGATTTATCAAACAGCAAGCCTAGGAGCTGTGGGTCTCTCTGCCATCTGGACAGACAGTTTGCTACCCTGTGACAGCAGTAATGGGAATGATTTATGAGGTCCCACAGCTCCACCCCCTGGGCCTAGTGAAACCTGAATGGCTTTTGTCCTTCCCCAGAAGGAGTGAGATTTTGCCTGTGTTGATGGGCACAAGAAATGGGGTTCACTTGACTGTGAAGGTGTTGCCCAGACCCATGGCAGCCAGGACTGTGCTTAGGGTCAGTTTTCAGTTTACAGTGACCCATCCACAAGGATTAACAGAAAAAGCCCTGGAATGGGAGACAAGAAGACCTGGGTGCAAATTATGCTGGTGAGCTGTGTGGCTTCGTGTCATTTTTTTGCCTCAGTTTTATGACCTGTACGATGGGGATAATGATATCTGCGTCTGCCAAGTCACACAATTTTTTTTGGAGGTTCTTGTGACATAATAGATGCAAAATGACTTCATTAATTACACAGCCCTCAACAGACACTAAGGATTTAATCCAACAAACATTTATTGAGCAACTGCTGTGTGCTATGCACCACTCCTGGTGCTTTGATGGACACATGAATAAAACACAGTCCCTGCCCTTGGTGAGCTTACAGTCTAAGAACAGTCAAAGGACGAGTGCACAATAACTATAATACAAGGCAGAATATGGTAAGTGCCATGAGAAAGGTACAAATAAAGTGCTAAGGTGGTTCAGCGGAGGGAGAGATCCCAGCGGTTGGTAGATCTGGAAGGGCTTCATGAAAGATGTGGTTTCTGCATGGGCCTGAAGGAAACAGAAGAGAGCGTTCCAGGAGTGAGAACAATCCAGATGAGAACAGCAAGACCAAAGGCACAGAGATAGGAAAACCAGGCACCCCTTCCAGGAATGACAGCAGGTGCAGGGTACAAAGTAAAAACAGGATCCTATTGTGGGGTCTGTAATTCAGAATGAAGACTTGTATATTATTCTGTGGGCCAGGGGAACTTTTAAAAGTCTGTGAATGGCTGGAGATAAAAATCGTTGTGCATGTTCAGGATGCAATGGAGGTGAAAGCATGCCCAGAGGAAACCTAGGAGAGGGGACTGCTGCTGAAATTGCCCACATGACAAGGAGGCCAAGGCAGTGCTGGTGGGAAGGAGCAGCAAGAAAATATGTGGAGAAGGGTCGAAAATGCCTTGAGGGTCTCAGAACTAGGTGGTTGAGAGGATCATGGGTCTTCTAACAGAAGGGGAGGCAGAGATGGTCAACTTGGCTTCAGATGTGTTGAGTTTATGGCGCTGCCAGAGCAGGTGGGGTGAATGTCTAACAAGGAATGTGCAGTGCAAGCCTGGAACCCGGGAGAGGGGCTGGGCTGCAGGGAAGTGTGGAGGGTGGACCCAAAGGAAGGTGTAAGGTTGCTGATGGAGAGCGTAGGGAGGTAATGAAAGGGGGAATGTCTGTGTTGGGGGCAAGGAGGAGAGAGGGAAATCACAGTCAGAGCTACCTCTGCTCCTTTTTAGGTTAAGGGTGTCAATAAATAAATCATAAATACATAAATAAATAAATACATAAATAAGGGATGAAGCAGCACTTGGGAAGGGAGGAGAAAAACCACAAGAACATGGCGTCCTGAAAACCAAAGGGACAGGGAGTGTCCAGGAGGGGTCACTGTAGAGCCAAGAGCTGTGGAGAGCTTGGTGATGAGAAAGGCCTTTTGATGGGTATCATGGAGGGTGCAAGGGGCATGGAGGCCAAGTGGGAGTGGAAAGGCAGTGTAAGCCTGGAGACCCCTTCCCAGGTTAGGGGGTGAAGGGAAGGTGAGGGAGAGGCCGTAGGAGCCAAGGTGGATAGAATGAGCACTGGTTCGTGAACAGAGAGGGCGGAGGCTGCAGAGGAGTGGCTGAGGGTGTCAGAGAAAATATCACTGGCATGAGGGCAGATGTTGCCTCCTCAGAAATGGGAGGAAGAAGACGAAGGGAGGGGAGAGATCAAGAGATTTTGAGGAGAGACCTCATTTCACCAGCTCTATTTCTTCAGTGAAGGAGGAGGCAAACAGTGGGAGTCATTGAGAGGACCTGAAAATGGAGAAGGTCCGAGGGGCTTCAGGGAGGGTGATATTAGGGCAACTGGGGATTGACTGAGGGTCCACAGGAGGTCACCCCAGATACAGGGGATAGGCCGGGACTCCTTGGCCCCCATGTCCCCTAGGCTAGCTGGCTTATGCCGGAGGCTGCAGTGGAATCTCACTCAAACTGAGCTCTAACGAGGCATAGAAGGAAGGGCTGCCTCCTGACAGTGCGTGCCTAAATGCAGAAGGTTGAGGAGTGAGGGGAGGCCAAGGCCCCGGGAGCTCTCGCCATCCCACGGCCAAAGCTTTGTGTTAGTGCAGGACCCGTGAGTTGGAGAATGGTGACATGTGGGGCGTCTTGGAGGGAACCCGGAGGCAGGTTGTAAGGGCTTTTCTACTTCAACTCTCATCAGTGTCAATTTAAGAAACCAGGATGGGACAGAAAGAAAACCATGCTTTCCAAAATGCTGTGGCCCTTAAACTCCCCAGGGAGGAATGCTGGTGGGTAGTTGAAGCTCAGAGCCAACTCTAGGACCTGACTTCAAGGCTCACCACTGGAATGTTCTAGAATTCACAGAGGCCCTGCTGGCAATCCTGCCCATTTCCCACGGCTCTGCAAACTTCAGAAGTTAAATGTCTTCCAGGACCTCTGAGATCCTCAAGATGAAAGACCCTGGAGAAGTGTAAAATATGATACTAATTATCTGCACTTCTCATGATGAGTCCAAACCACTCAGTTCCCACAGAGGCTGTTAGGGCTGGTGCTTCCTTAAATGTTCATTTTATAATGCAAATCCCAAATCTCAGGCTTCGAGCATCCACAAGAACAAGGAAAGAAACAGATGTAGAATCATAATCGCAGTTTGGAGCTGGAGCGTCTGGATGTGGTGTTAATGGTTCTGAATATCCTCTGCTGGCTTCCTGTCAGCCATTAATTAGGAGCAAATGTCCTGTTCCAAATTGCCATTGATTGATTATGTCCGCTCTCATATATTGGGGGGCAGATCTTGATTACTTTCCTTAACTCCTTTCACCTTCAAGATAATGGTTTTTAACTTATCTTTCAAATATGTCTTAAAACACTTATTTATCAGGCAAGAAAATATATCTAACAAATCAAGCTGGCTAATGCTTGTCTCTCTCTATGTGACCTGTGATCCCAGCCCCTAAGTTGCTGGCATCAAGCCCAGGTTTCCCCCAGGGAGACTATGTCCAGTATTTGGATACTGCATTTGGCTTTGGGTTTTAAAAAAGTCTTAACTATCTTAATAAAGGGAAAGTAGAGTTTTCAAAATTCTAAAATCATTGCCTCTGGGGCAAAAAGGGCTGGAGGTGGACAATGAAACCTTTCCCTGCAGAGTAGAAAACCTCAGTGTTGGAGCTCAGTGCTGGCTAGTGTGACCATCAGGGTGGAAAGCGACAAGAAGTGACGCCGATGCATCGGTCTGGCTGCAGAGGCCCCGTGGTGTGCACAATGCCAAAAGCAAACAGAGAGAGTGCTTGCAGAAAAATGGAGCTAAACACTTCACATTTTTTTAGTCTCACACTCTGGGGCTCTGGGGGCACCCAGAAAGGCAATCATATATATTTTAAAAAGGATGACATTTATCTTTGCAGTACCTTTTCAAGATTTCGCTGTGGCTTCCCTGGTGGCGGGAAGGGGACAGTATAGTCCCTCATGTGACATACAGGGCAGGAAGGAGGCTAACTCTGAGGATGACATCCCAGGGTCCCTTCCTCCTTGGTGGATTCAAGTTGCTTTAGGGAACACCTGTGACAACATTTTGGAGCCTCTTCTGTCTCTTCTGGGGGTGTAGTGCCAACCCTTTGCAGAAGGTGGAAATTCTTCAAAGACACGATTTGCAACACCCCAGCTCTTTAGTGTCATCTGCTTGCTCCGTCCCAGGTTCTTGGTGGTTCTTGCTGAGCCACAGTTTTAACTGTCCATTGTTTCTTCTCTAGCCTTCTCTCCATTGCTGGGGAGGCCTACTGGGACAGGTGGGTCAACTGCGGTTCATCCCTTGAGCATTTAAACTCTACGGTCGTGGGAAGGCCTTCAGCTTGGACATGGCCTCTGCTTCTTGGTGTCCTTGTGCTCCTTTGCCCAGCTGAACTCTCTGACCTCCCTCTCCTCGTCAACAGCACCGTTTCAGATTTGGATAAAATTGTCCCCTCTGGGTCTTGGCTCACCCAGAATCCACATTTCTCAGAGGCCAGAGGCAGCTGCCAACAGGTGGCTCTCTAATCATCCATGAGCCCAAAGATCCCTTCAACCCAGGATGCAGTTTGTCATCCAAAGTCATGGGACTGGCTTCTTTTCATGTCGAGTCCTTCCACCCCCAAAGATGGACCGAGTCTCAATGCTGGTGGGTTCTCCATACCTTCTTCCTGTGGCTTATCTGCCTAATGCTAGATGAACACCACACAGTTATAAATACTCAGGTCAATATATATATGCAGGTATAGATATATATATTCTGGTCACTGTTTTACACTTGAACAAAGAAAACCACTAGCCTGCTTATTCTATAGTTTGTGCCACCCCGACTCCCATCTGCCTGTGGTGTAGTTGGCAGGAAATGTGAGCCACTGAGTCCCGTAGGGCACCCACTTACGTGGCCCCGTCACACTGGCCGACAGTCAGTTTCAAAGCCCCCTGCTCATGCAGACTCTTGAGGGCCTTGAACTCCAAGGGCATGGTGTGGGGGCTGGCCTGGGAGGTGTAGCCATACTTGAGGCTGTCGTAATAGTGGTACTTGACGGGGTTCTGGTTCTGATCTAGCGGGAAGGGCCAAAAGCCATAGAGGTAGATCTGGTTGCAGAAACGCGTGGCCAGTGTGTACATCAAGAGGCCGGTGGTGGGTCTTTTGATGTGGACTTTGTTCGTCAGCCAGTATCTGAAAAAAGAAAAAAGTGACAAAAGAAACAAAAAGGAAACATGAGTTTATGAAGTATCTTTCCAGGAAGAGGAAAATTGTATCCTGTCACTCCAGGATAAATGGAGCGACTGTTTCCCAGTTCCCTTCACAGAGGATCGACAGCCCCCCCCTTATTAAGCCCAGTGGCCTGCCAGGGGTATAACTGAGTGAGCTGGGAGTTGGGATGTGTGTAAGGAAAACTAACACCTCAGTGTTCTTCGGACAGTAAGGAGTGGTGGTGACTGTGGCATCTAAAGATATAGCCAGTTTCATTGTTGTCCCAGTATGGGGGTGCCAGATTTTCTGTTTTTTATCAAGAGTATCAGAAATCTGGATTTAAAAAACAAACAAACATGTTTTTATTGATTTTAGAGAGAGAGGAAGGGAAAGGGAGAGAGAGACACTGATGTGAGAAACATCATTCAGCTACCCCCTGCACCCTCCCTACTGGGGACTGAGCCCACAGCCTGGGCATGTGACCTGACTGAGAATCGAACCAGAGACCTTTCGGTGCATGGGACAGCACTCAACCACTGAGCCGCACCGCTCAGTGCAGAAATCTGGATTTTTTAAATGTAAATTCTCCAAATTTTTAAATGTTGGCAACTAATTTTAAAAAATTATAAAAACATCACGTGAGGCCCTATTGGGTGAGTCAGACCATGTCTGTGGGTCACCCATGGGTCTCCTGGATTGAACTTGGCATCTTTCAGATAGCAGAGGAAAACATGGGAGTCCAGGGTGACTTGCCTGAAAAGAGTCAAACTTCTCATTGCAACTCCTTAGATAGAGCTCAGATGACATGTAGCTTCTCCATGCCTGTTTCTTGGGTCTTTTTCACCCTGTGGTGATTCTGGGAGAGTTGGGGCTGGAAGTGAGCTGGCTACAGCTGCTGTAGGCACCATCCAGGGACATGCAAGCCACTGTCAGTGTCCCTGCATGATTGCATTTCACTGACTGTTCACTTCCTGAGCCAATTCAAGCCTTAACACAGGCCATGTGCCATATTAGGGATTTGTGGTTTTATTTTCTGATAGTAAGCCCTTAGCAGGGGAAGGATTTCAGAATGAATTTCTTTCCAGGCTATCAATGCTATGCCCAGAGAAGGGGAGGGAAGAATTTAATCAGTGGTGAAACATCCAAGGAGCTCATAGGTGAGTCTGAGGTTACACAGACATGAGATGTGCCCTCCCCATAGATATGCCTTTCCCTCACATGTCCCCTTGGTGAACTCTCTGTCTCTCGTTTTTCCTCCCAAACTAAGTACATATATCACATCTTCCTGGAAATGACGTTTCCTTTGTCCTACCCTCTTCTCTCCAGCTCAAACTGACTTAATCACTTCCACATTATTACCATGAGCTTTGTTTCTACTTCTCCCAGGGTGCTTATCAACCTGGGCTGACAATCCATTACTGTGTGGGTTGGTCTCCCACACAAAACTGCACTGTGATCTCCCCAAGAGCAGGGATCACGTCTTATGCACCTGTGTAGGGGGTTCAAAGGCATCTGGCTCAGTGCCTGGTGCTGCAAAAGCTCTATGGCAGAGAGAGTAGTGTTCTGCCAGTATTCCATGTGCTCTCCTACATCTCCCAGAATCCCTTGACATTGGGCTTGGGTCATATGACCAGTTCTGACCAATAGGCTTTGACTGCAAATGTGTCCTTTCTGGGCTAATGTTGCTCAAGAGCAGACCCTCCGCTTTCTCTTCTCCTGCCTTGGAGAACTGCAAAGCCTCCTGTAAAGATGGTGTCAGCCCAAGCTGGATGAATCCTGGATCCCTGGACCACTGGTTGGAAGAGACCCCTGCCAACATATGGTACTGTGTGAGAATGAGAAATGAACGTCTGCCATGCTAAACCCCAAGGTGTCCAGGGCTTGTTATTGCAGCATAGCCTCGCACTGATTATCTTGACTGCTACTGTGCTCAGCAACTGTTGGACTCCAATAGAATGAGAGATGGGAAGAAGCAGAAAAGGAGGAAGGAGGGAGCAAGCAGGGCGCTCAGCTTTGTAACTGTGTCTGAGACAGGAATAGAAATGCCTGGCCTCTCATGTCTGGTGCCAGGCTTTTCACAAGAATCACTCTCCAGGAAAGGTGTTAACAGCAAATGAGGCTCCAGGATGAAATGAGAACACAGTGGCTTAGAGGGCCCCACTTATTTCCTGTTCTGCCTCCACAGGTAAACAAGAACTCCTGAGATGTGTGACAGGGACATGGGGCACCATTTAATGAGCAGCTTATAATAGAGGCTGGCTGAGTTCTGCAGGAGCAAAACATTCTCTACTTCCTTTGTATCTCCTCAGTCGCTATGGCCAATTTAGCGACTGTGCGCCTGGCCAACTCATAGACTGTTTCTTTCCTGAGGATAACAGCTGGGTGTTAAAACACTAATTAATTTGCCTTCCCAAATGAGGTTAGCTGGGTGCATCTGGGACATCATATTGACAATGCACCTTTAATATCACAGTCTTGAGATTTTAATTAGAAGGCAAAGTAATCTCAAAGAAGGCAGTAATTATTTTTCAAACTGGTTACCCCAGTTGCCAAGACGATTAAGCATTGTATTTTATGAGCATGGACAGCAGTAAATAAGAATTGCCAAAATCAACTCAAAAGCGCATTCTTTCTTTTCCCTGGATGTCTGGGCTTGGTACGTGGCGAGAATGGTGGCTGCCAGTGTTGGTAAAAGAGACCAAAAGAACTTTCTCCAAGAAGCTAAAAGCACTTTGTGGGATATAGCTTATTTCATCTGTAAGGAGCAGGAGTGCCTCACAGGTGGTTGTCAAGGGACACGTGGTGATATTTTGTGCAAGATCAGCAGCAAAGCCAGCAACAGAACTCTTGGGCTCCTGGTCCCCCATCATCCACATCGTCATTCTTGGCCCTGGTTTGGGGCCCGCAGCCCATTGCTGTCCTTCCCTTGGAAGCACTATTTAAACCTCTGCTGTCCTGGTGGACATGCCTGGACAAGTCTGCCCAGCTTTGCGGTAATAGTGAGCTGGGGATTTTGTCTCAGAATTTGAGGCTGGAGTGCAGAGCTAGCTGGTCAGTCCTGGGGATGCTTGAAGCCAATTCATGGTCCCTAGGTTTCCATGTTTACTGAAATAAGTCATCTAACCTCAAGTCTGACCAGGTCACCAAAAACCTTCTGAAGACTCCTGGAGTCCACAGGATAACATCCAACGGCCTCACCCAGGACTGTGAAGCCCTTGAGATCTGGGCCAGAAACCCCTGCCAGCACCTGGTAAGCACAGTCACACTGCCACAAGGAACTTCTTGGTTTCTTCCAGGACACCATCACCTCCCATGTCCCCTTCGTATGGCCTCAGCTTCAATGCCACTTCCTGCAGGAGCCCTCCCTGGACCTCCCTGGAGGGTTTTGTGTTCCATACATTGTTGTTTCCCTATTATGGCACTTACCATGCGATGGCATAATGACTTGTTTACTTGTCTTTCTCTTCCCTTACAATTTAAATTCTGGGAGCAAGTGGATTAGCTTCTATATCACCCCAGATCCTAGCATAGCACTTGTACAAAGTAGGTGCCGCTTCACAAATCCTAATGAAGAAATGAATGAAAATGAAGGAGCAGAGGCTAGGGGCTCCCTCTGAGGGTACTGGCAGGGGAGCAGAAGGAGATCACAGGAGTTTTGTGTGGGAGACCGACCCACACAGCACTGGCCTCACTCTCAACTCTTCCAGGCAGCCGCCAGGTCTGCACATGTGAAAGGCAGGCTAACAGCATCCTAGACAGCATGCTGCCAAAAGGAAAAAGGAAAAACATGATTCTGGTTACTTGAGGGGTTCCTCATGCTTCAGGGTGGGCCCCTCAGGGAGTGAGAGACTGCTGCTCACACACAGGCCTAGCAGGCACCCAGCCAGACCATTTCTTGGGGGGCTTAAATCTTCTGGCTGGATTCTGGAATTTAAACTAATGCCACTCCCAGCTGAAAAATTATATTCCACCTCATTCATAATTAAAGGAATCCGATTTCAAACAATAATCAGATGCCATTTTCCACTGGCAAAGACAGCAAATCTGGATAATACACCACGTTCACGAGGTTATGGGAGAGCAGGCATTTTTAATAATTGTAGGTGGGAGTGTAACTTGGCAATATCTATAAAAATTAACAATGCATATATCCGTCTCTCTTTTTAGCAACGACACTTCTAAAAAGCAAGCCTATAGATATAGATATGTGTGCAGATGTCAGTAAAAGATGGTCACTGTAGTATTGGTAATATTAGAGAAAGATTGAAACACCTGCTATGTCCCCCCACCCCAACCTATGGCTTCTGCTTACATAAACTATGGCCCTGACTCAGTGGAAGGCCAGGAAGCTGTGAAGGAGAACAAGGTAGTATCTGTCAATATAGAATAATTTCCAGAATTTAGTAAGGTGTGGTACTTAAAACATGCTCCCTTATGTGTAAAAGGGGATTTTTCTGGAAGAAGATGCAGAAAACCAGTTTAACAAGGCTGCCTCTGTGGAGGGCTCGCTTTTCACTTTAAATCCTCTTATACTATTTGGATTTTTCTTTTTACTATGTGCATTGCTATTTTTTCAAAAAAGAGACAATCCATTAAAAATGACCAGATGCTGGCAGCCATCTGTTCCTCAATACCACAGACCTCCCTCCTTTTCTTCTCCATGGAACACACTTCCACACTCTTGTGTCCACTGGAGGAGACTTGGACCCAACTCCTGAGACTTTGTACTGCAGTGGGCATGTCCGGGAGGGGACATCTCCTACCCTTGCTGGTCTCCCTTTATTCTCTGCACCATGCTTAGTTCCTCCCTACTGGGCTTGCCCTCTGGTCCTCAGTTTCTGCTCCCCACAGACAGGTAGCAGGGCTTGCTTGGCTGACATGCTGCTCCAGCCCTGGCAGGGTCACCTACTGGATCAGTGCCATGCCAGGGTGTTGGCGCAGCACGCCTGGTACCTAATTAAGCACCATTTCATCAGCCTCCTCTGCACCAGGCCTGTGACTGGGCAGCTGAATGGGCCTGTTTTCCTGCCCAAGGGCCCCCCTCTCTGTGGTCACAGCCTTCCCCGTTGTTGTAATTGAATTAGAGCCATTCACTACCAGCTGCTGACCAGTCTCCCACTTCCCGCGGCCATACTCAATTGCCTGGTGTCCTTCCCCTCGGTTGCTCACGTCCCTTGCCAACAGCCAGCCAGGCACTGTGCCGCTCTCCAGGCCAGCAAAGCAAGAAGTCCCTTGGAAGAACTGCTCAGGCTGGGGCACGGGGTGATAAGAGTTGAAGGGCAGGCCTTCTGCTCAGGGTCTCGGCACCATGCTGTCCACTTCCTGCAATCCCCGGGCCCAAAAACTCTCAGATGGACAAGAATCTTGAGAGTACGTGGCAGTTAGAGACCCTCCTAGCATAGGAGCGCTGAATCAAAGAATCTGGGAAAGGCTGTTAGCTAGCCCAAATGCTCATTATGTTGAAGTCACAACCTCCATTACCTCATAGTGTGGCCTTATTTGGAGATAATGGGTCTTAACAGAGGTAATCATGTTAAAATGAGGTCATTAAGGTACCTGTAATCCAGTATGACTGACGTCCTTAAAATCAGGAGAAATTTGGAGAAGACATGCACATGGAAGAATGCCTTCTGAACATGAAGAGTGGCCACAGACAGGCCCAAGAGAGAGGCCTGGACTGATGTTCCCTCAGGGCCCTCAGGAGCGAGCCCTGCCGACACCCTGATTTTGGCCTTCTAGTCTCCAGAACCGTGAGACAATAGATTTCTGTTGTTTAGGCCACCCAGCCCAAGTGAACTCTACAGCAGTTGTGTGTGGTGTGGATTTCCGGCTCCCTGGCCCAGTAAGGGGCATTCACCGCCCCCTGCACATCCCCAAGGAGGCTGAATTCACTGTCTCCTGAGAGGCAACCTTGGTCATTGCAGATGATTTTGGTTTGTTGGAAGGTTCTTCCCAATGTCCAGATGAAACCTGACTCCTTGTAGATCCTCTCCCAGCCCTAGTTTTATACCGGGGGCCTCACAGGCCGAATCGGTGAGCCCCTCAAGGGCAGATGCCTTGTTTTACTGATTTTTACACAGGCCTGGAGCCCACTAGGTGCCTGTAAGTATTCGTTGAATGAAGAGATTGCTTTCATGCTCCTTGGAGTTTTCATGCTCCTCAGAGCCTTCTTCTCTCCCCAGACCTTTCAACTTTTGAATTTCTCTGCTACTGTGGTCCCCCTCCAGCCTGGTACTCAAGACCGAATGTAATTCTCCAAGTGGGATTTGACCCGGGAGAGTAAAAAAAGGCCATTGCCGACCTCCCTGACTCTCAAAGACTTTCTATGTCTGTTGCTGCAGCCTAAGACCATAGATTCCTTAGAGTGACCACACATCCGCTGATGGTTGGCACTGTTCATCCCTCTGTACTACTGTTTAGAACCTAAGTACAGAATCTGCATTTGTCCATATTAAATTTCTTCCTCTTAGATGAGCTCATTGCGTCAGCCTGTCCAAAATAATTGGAATTAAATTCCAAAGCCATACTGGACCCTGCACCCTACAATGCCCTGTGGCCCCACAGAGGGAGAGAGCCACTGGCAGAAACCCATTCCAAGGCCCTGAAGCCCCCTCCTCCCACCTCCTCCACTTCCCAAAAGCAGGAACCCGCCCCACCTGTCTCTCCTCCAGTGTTTCTTCTGGGGAGTTCCTGCAAAGGAATATGTTGGATCTAAGGATTAATAGCCTATTTGTTTAAAGGGCTTATTACTAGTGCTTAATGCTATTTTTGCAGATAAAAATAAGTCAGTTATAGCTGGAAATACATTTCTGGTTGCATACATTTCTTCTAGGTGGTTGCCCAGTCCCCATCAAGGGACGTTTTCTCTCTTTACCAAAGGGCAGTCCTTTTCTTTTTCTTACCCCTCTGACTCCCAAGCCATGTAGATGTTCCTTCTTCTAGGAAGAAACAACATTTAAAGAATGGATCCTAAATCCATGAGGTGGGTGTAACTGCGGCAGCCCCACTCTGTGACAGGGATGAAGTGAAGGATGCTGAAGGGACCCCTGATTGGCCAACCTCCAGGAGAAGGATGTGGCCCCTGTGAGGCCTGTGTCCATACAAGTATCAGTCTGCTCCATCAGCCCCAAATGTGGCTGCCTTTTACTGAAGGTATCTCTAGGTCTTCCTTGGTGACAATGGACTTCTGTGTGCATACTCAACCTAATGAGACCAGTGCTGGTCACACACTTGGGTGTCACCTGTATGAGGACCAGAGTCCTTTGTGGGTGTCTCAGGGGGCTTCCCAGGGTCACATCGAGTTATGCTAAGCCCTAGCAAAGAACATTCCAATGTCCCTTGGTCATTGGAGAGGCTGTATGATGGCCTTTCTCATGTCCCTAGAGCAGAGCTATGAACTGCAATGTGGCTGGATGGCCCCAAGCTGGGAGGTCAGGAGTGGGTGGGGTATATTTGTAATAGGCATCTCAAACTTAATATGCCTAAGAAAAAACTCTCTTCCTCACCACCTCCAAACAGGCATGGGCTTCCCCCAGGCTCTCCTATCACAGAGAATGGCATCACTATCCTTCCATTTGCTCAAGCTCGAATCCTAACAGTCATCCTGAATTTTTCTCTCTCTCATCCCATGAGGTTCTTAAATAGAATGCATCAGCCAGTCCTGCTGCCTCTACTCCAGATTTTATAGCAAATCTGTTGCATATCCACAGTCACTGTCCTCATCTAAGTCAAATGTATTTCCTGCCTGAAGTATTGAGACAGCTTCCCAGCTAATATTCCTGCTTCCACTCTTGTCGCCTTATGGTTTATTCTCCACATCGCTGTCCAGGCAGGCACTACCAGTTGGTCAAAACTGCCATGGCAGATGAAACCCACTTGCCACCCCCCTCAATTCTCAGGAAGGGGAGGCTCAGAGGGGTCAGCTGACTTGAGGTCATACAGCTAGCGAATGATCGAGCTGAGATGGAAATGAATCTGGGAAAGGAATATTGCCTACCAAGCACCGCCCCCCCTCAATGACAGCCCCCTTTCCCGGGGAGGGGCCGCTCACCCGCGGACGGCGTGCAGCAGGCGCAGAGAGGGGTATGCGGTACGCACGTTGACTCGGTGCTTCAGGATGAGCTCATTGACCCACTCAACACGCTCCTTGCCACCCCTGGCCATGAAGGCGGGGATCCACAGGATGCTGCCATTGAGGCTGTGCAGCCGCTGGAGTAGCTTCTCTCGCCAGGTGGCGTTGACCAAGTCCTCAAAGGCACGCTGGATGACTGAAGGGTTCATGGTCACCAGGTCTGTCTTGAGCCCCACATCCCGGGCGTACTCCTGCACCGGGGCAAGGTTGCACCTGGCAGAGAAAAGACAGCATAGTTCTTTTGGGAAAGCTGAGACACCTCTGCTTATATTTAATTTTATCCATCCTTTGCTTGCTTTTCATCCCCAAACAAGGATCCGCGGCATCCTCCTGCACTCACTGGCTCCTCCTGTCATCCTGTCTCCTACCACACATATTTACTAGGCATTTAGCGTATACTCAGAACTTCACTGCGCCCTGGGGATGTCAGATGCCTGCCTTCTGGAGTTCAGTATCCAATAGAAGAGGAAGGAAGCAAGTAAGCTAGCGCTCAGCCCACAAGAGGACCATGTTCTTGGCAGGTGTGACCTGGCCACATTAGGTAGCAGAGGGAGGGCTCTGAAGAGACATTCCTAGGTTCAGAATTCAGCTCTGACACTTCCTGTCTGTGTGATTCCGGGCAGCATGCTCAACCTCCCTGTGCTTCCTGAGAGCTTCCTGGCGGCTAAGCAATATCCTCAACAGTTTTTTTTAGCTATGATGGAGATCAGAGCAGCACCCCTCCCAGGACTTAGAGTCACCACACACCCAGTCCTTAGAACACTGCCGGACCACAGTTAGAACTCAATAAAAGTTACTGTCATCGTCATGGGAAGGAGGAGCATAGATGGTCTTCCTGGAGGTGGTGACCATTGAGAGAAATCTAGAAGGATGGACGAGCAGAAGTCCAATAGTGGAAAAGGCACTTTAGGACAGTGTTTGTTTACCTTGTCAGATCAGAAGAATCACCTCAGGCAATTGTTAAAAATACAGATTCCCCAGGTCCATCACCTGGAGATCCAGATTCAACAGGTGAGCCTAGGAACTGATATTTATTTTTGCAAGCTCTTTAGTTAAGTCTTATAACCAGGCAGTTTAGGAAACATCATTCTATGGCATTTTAGGTGCAAGAAATGTGTCCAAAGGCACAGAGTTGGGAAACTTGAGTATTTAGGGGAATGCAAGTAATTTGGTGTGACTAGAGCATATTGCATGGAGGACATGGGGCAGGAGAGGCAAGTAGGGTGAAATATCAAAGGGTCTATATGTCAGTGACTTGGTTCGGAGGTCAATAGGGAGCCACTGAAGGTTCTTGAGCAGGAGAGTGACATGGACAGATTTGCATTTTATGCAACAGTTAGATGACAATAAGACAAAGTAGTAGTATGTATCGGAGGGGGCGGAATTGAGTATCAGAAGGCAAGTCTGCAGGTGAGAGAGGCAGCTCATGCACAAAGGCTGACACTGGCCTGAACTAGCTGTGTGACCTCTAACTTTCTGTACCTCAATTTCCTCATTGCAAAAGCCAGGGAAAAATAGAATTTTCCTGACAGGATTGTTGTGAGAACTAAGTAAGTTAATAGATGTCTTGTGGGTGGGCATTTGTTTATAGGATTCTCCCTCTGAAAGGTTTTGTGTGTGTTTGTGTGTGTGTGTCTGTGTGTGTGTGCGTGTGCACGTGCGTGCGCACGTGCGTGCATGCACCCAATGAAGTTTTAATCCCCAAACATCTGGGAATTGACTCTGCACATATGTGACCCTAAGTTAGGCAGTCACCTCAACCTGGCATTGTAGTCTTATGGGGACCCTGTGGGGACCAGCCCTCCTGCCTGGCCTCAGTTCCTAGCAGCACCTTATGAAACCTATATGTGGTCAGGCAGTGAGCTCCATGATGCTTGAATCTACCTTCTTGTTTCCATGTCTTTCCTCATGCCGGTTCCTCTGCCTCAATCTTTAATATCCAACGTCCACCTCACTCCACCCCATCCCACCCTTACCCCTTCTCTGACTCCCAGTCACACAAACCTGCCACACTTTTTTTCCTCTTTCCCTTCCTTTTTCTATCTTTAGACTGGAGGGCTTTGCGAAGTGGGGGCTGAGCCATTATAAAAGCCAGGCACAGGCAGAACCTGGCAAGAGATAAACTAAAACAGGTTTGGCTGCCGGGCTGCAGTGGCTTTTCCATCCCAGTGGATGCAGGAGTAAACACACTGTCCAATCCCACGCTCTGAGGTTCCAGGAGCTCTAGGATAAGGCTGCTTCCCAAAGCCCCAGGACAAGGCTCTCTTTGCCTAGGGACAGCCCCAACAGAAACGTGAGATGCGGTGTGTGGTTCTGCCAGAGCGGGGCCACTGTTTGGGCTGAAACTCGAGGCTCTCTGTGCCCTACTTTTGACCAAGGGACAGCAAGGCCTTGTTTATAAGTCTGTCTGGTTTGGGGGTCAGGTGTCAGGGCCCCGGGTAACTATTTCCAGGTGTGTCCCAGGAAACTGAAAAATGAGAGATGACATTTCAATGAGAATGATGGTCAAGTATAAACCCCAAGTTTCTCCATTGCTCTCTCACTTCCCAGATTTGGACTCTAGGATATAAAGTTACTAGTAGAGTATGACCTTCCAGAACACTTAAAAGACTTGCGCAAACTTGGACCAGCCAGATTTTCTTACTAATCATTTGTAGCAGGCTCTATCCTGGGCAGGTAAACTTTTTCTGGAGAGGGTCAGATAATAAATATTTTAGGCTTTGAGGGCCATGTGCGCTCTCTATTGCAACAGTTCCACTCTTCCCAACCACACAATACCACATTGTAGCAAGAAAGTAGGACATGAAAATGAATGGGTGTGGCTGTGTGCCAATAAAACTTTATTGGTAAAAATAGGCTATGGGCCATAGACTGCCTACCTCTGTACTACACCGGCAAGTTCCACCCTTAACTGTACAATAGACTTACCTGTCTCCCTGGGCCACATGCCCCCTGCCCCCAGATTGATTTAATTGGTTTTGTGTGCAGCCTGGACATTGGGAATTTTCAAAGTTCCCCAAGGGATTTTAATATGTGGTCAAGATTGAGACCAGAGGCATCAAGGTGTTTTTTTCCTTTCTATTTTACATGCATTTATTTCATTCTAGTCACAGTGTACAATTGTTGTTCAACACATAAGGTTGAGACTAACCCAACCAGTTTGTGTCGATTCAATCTCTTGGGACCACTGGCAGCACCCAGCTTAAGTATGCCTGCTGCTCTGGACCCAGAGCCCCGCTGTGGTTACCTTATGACAAAGCTGTGCATATCGATCTCCTGCCCACAGCCGCTGTTCAGCAAGACCCCTGAGTTGCCCACGATGGCACAGGTTCGGAAGTGCTTGTTTTTCAGCGGGGAGGTCCTGGGGAGGAGCTCGTAGAGGTTCTGGGACACATTCATGGTGCTGTCTCGGTCGAAGACGTAATGAATAATGTCTCCGGGCTTCAAGGTCCCCTTGAGGACAGAGATGTCCTTTTCAGCATCCAAGAACTTCAAGATTTGTTTCCTACAAAACCCAAACACACACCAGGATGAGTCTCTTTGCTGCCAGCTGCCCTTTGCAAACCCAGCTTTTCCTGGCCAGCGTCACCCTGCAGGGCAGCTGGAGCCCAGCACACAGGGAAGAGCTAGAGTTCTGATGCCCTCAGAGGTTCTGGGCAGGGACTGTCAGAAATGGCCCAGAGGGGATTATGGTTGGTGGTGGCCAGCCTGTTTGCCATGGTTATGCCTACTTCCTATGAGGTGTGCAAACTGCCCTGGGAAATGACTCCCTTAGGATACAAGTGAGCTCATCACAGAGGGCCCTGGAAAGGAGTGTGACCCACATTCTGGTTTTCCCAGGACTGCTTGGTTTTAGCGCTTCCCAGGAAATCCCTCAGCCTTGGGAAAATGCCTACAGTGGTCACACTACTTCCCTCCTTTAGCAGGATCCAGGGCCATCATGTGACAGCAAGTCCTAAACTGGGAGCAGGAAACCAGAATGACACGTCTCTCATTCCTCAGTGGCCTATTTTCTCCATGGAAGCCTTCTTCGGGCACAGGAGCCTTGCAAGGGGTGAATGTGAATGTGGGTACCGTGAGGTGTGTCAATCACTCCACCTTTGAGAGACTGAGGCCGTGAGCTGGTCTGTTGTGCGGAGTATGATTCCCAGCTCCCTAATTGCTGTCTAGTCTGAGGTTTGTAAACAGTGAGGCTCTGTCCCACGGAGCATGGTTCTTCGTGTTGTTTCAAAACAACGATGATCACAGGACAGCTGTCTAGGCTTTAGGGTAACTTTGATTTAGGGGGAAATTCTAGAATCATCTAGCATAGTGTGTAGTCACAAAAAGAATGGGTGTCCTCTAGGAATCACCAGAGAGTTTTACTCAACCGTGCAGGCCTGGCCCCCAGGAATCTGAGGTTTTACTTAAAGAACTTTCTAAATCACCTAAAATATCTTTAGAAATGATTCAAGTCATAGAGAGAAAGAAATTTGGTACCCAGATCAGCTGAAATGAATTTCATTTCCTGCAGTGAGCCCCCATCTAGAACAGACACAATGATGCCTTTTCTGATACAAAGTCTGCTTTTCCTCAGAGCCCCAGAGGGACAGAATCTTCATGTGCTTTGCAAATGAGAGAATTTGCAAGATGGTTGCCCCATTGTACAGATGGTTACGCTGCCTCCTGAGCGCCTGTGGGATCTGAGATGTTCAGAACCTGTGGTGCATCCCAGCACGACGCACATTCAATCACTTGGGGGACCATAAAGAACACAAAGGTTTCAGGCTGGCACCTGAGAAACCCTGGTTTTGAGTGCCACCTCGGTCTCAGCACACTTCCGAAAGCGCCACAGGTGACTTTAACGTGTGTCCAGGCTTGAGCATCTCTGATATAGCCACGGGGCATTAGGTTGCTTGGCAGGGCACTGCGCTCTTCTAGTCTTCCCTTATCAATGACCTGGATCTCTCGCTATCGCTATCGTGCTGGGGAAGCCCTCTTGCTGAGTAATTTGTATCTCTTGATAGAAAACAGAGGCACTGTTTTAACTTACTATGCTTTACCAAGTATTATACAACTTGACAAACTAATAGAGTTTGGAAAATGCTAAAACCTTTGCAGTGATTTACCCCAACATATTTAAAAGCAAAGGGAGCACCCCAGAAAGCCCATAAATAAGAGCTCTGTGAGTGTATTAATCTCTAATTAATTATGAGGAATTGCTATAATTATTAAACATCATTCCAAATAACTCACAGAATCTTTTATTACAAATAATTTGGGTGATTAATTGAAGTCGAAGGGAATCCCCTCCCCTGAAGGCACATTATTCCTGCCAAGGTAGGTCCCCACGAAGCCACAGTTTCGTCTTCTCCAAAAGGAGTGGGGGTTTATTTCTCTACTCCAATAGCAGGAGAAAGGGCCAGTCACTCACAGGTGGAGTAGTGGGGTAGACAGTGCCTCCCCCCAAATATATGTGATGTGGCTTTATTTGGAAAAAACATCTTTGCAGATGTTACTAAAATTAAGGGTCTCGAGATGAGACCATCCTGAATTACCTGGGTGGGCCCCAAATCCAATGACAAGTGTCCTTGTAAGAGACAGGAGAGGGAAATACACAAACACCAAGAAAGCCCTGTGACCATGGAGGCAGACTGGAGTGATGCAGCCACAAGGTAAAGATAGCCTAGAGCACCTGAAGCTGGAAGGGGCAAGGAGGAGTCTCCCTAGAGCTGTCAGAGGCTGTGCTCAGAATTCTGACCCCCAGACTGAGAGAGAATAAGTATCTGTTGTTTAAGCCACCAAGTTGGTGGGAATTTGTTATGGCAGTCCTGGGAAACTAAGGCAGGTGCTCTCATTGATCCCACAGTGCTGCCGATCCGAGGCCAGTGATGTAGGCCTGCTGCTGTTAGGGCAGCCATGACCAGAGTGGAGGGTCCATCCGGGGGACCTCAGAAGTAGTGCTCAGTGAACAGTGGCAGATGGTGGTGACAGGAGTCAGCTCCTTTAGATGGTCTCAGCTGCCAGGTCCCCCACACCTCCTCATGTCCCAAAACTAAGCCTTGAGAATGAAGGTGCTGGAGCAGTTCCGTTTTGACAGTGCGTGTACCTGGAGGGGATCTCTTCCCTGCTCTGTGTGGTGACACTTTTGGTAGCTATGGGCAAGGTTGACCATTGTGCCCCAGTCACCTGTTCTCTGCTCCCTCCCATGGTTATGGCCTGGGAAGGTTGGCCACATAGCTGAGGCTTTCCCTATTTGGTCCTGGGTACTCTACCAGGCTCATCACCCCCATTCCTACCTCCTGCTTTGCACTCCAGTAGCACTGAGCACAGACACCAGAGTTCAGACTGCGTACAAGTGGAACGCAGCTTGGTATGCCTGGCAAACTCTTAGTCATCCTTCAAAACCCATTGCTCCTTTCCTGGCCAGGCTAGCCTTCTTGGTTCTCTTACAAAATGAAGTACTCTCTCCTCAAGTGATCCTTTTATCTCCCCCTATTTACAAGATGCAATACTGCCTATTGTGTGTATCACACTGTACTGTCCTGTTTTTGCTTATATTGTCTCCCCACTGACATGCCTGGTTCATGTCAGCGTTCTGGGACCCCAGTGCGATGCCTGGAAATGAATGGTTGGATTATACTGACCAATCTTTGCTGGGTCAATAATGGTGATATCAAAGGCAAGTAGCGAAAGTGCTGAAGTTGAAATTCCTGTTACTGTTTCCCATTCCCACCACCCAACAACAACTGCAGAGCTCTGCCTTTGCAATCAGGTGTCATGCCAGCTCCAGTGTCACCCGATCGAACTATGGCTTTTCATTTTCATGTTGTCGGTGAGGGCAGCCTACTCAAGCAACAGGACTGTGTGTATGTGAGGGGTGGGGTGGGAGGGAGCTCTCCAAAGACTCTGAGTGGGAGGACTGTCGCCTCAAAAGAGGGCGCAGATGCCAGGTAGTCCCGAGCAAGACACGTCTCCTTATCCAGGGAAGGACTGCTTCCCTGGTCCTCTGGGAGAAGCCACCTGTGGCCTCCACCCCCCACCCCCAGGCTCTCAGTGCTGCTGACCTGAGAGCCCCACTCCTTCCAACCCCAGGACCTCAGTTCCTGCCAACCTCCCCAGCTGAGTGGCTGCACACACATGCTGGGCTGCTGGGCCTGCCTTGGGTTTTTATTTCCAATTGACCGCTTACAGATGAAACCTGCCTCAGTGGGAGGTAAACATTTTATTTCTAGCCTGACTTCTTTAGATGATAGAGAGCGGCAATTGATGGCTTGTGCTGAAGAAGGCCAAGCCTGTCTCTCATCCTAGAGGTAATTACCACTACCTGATCCTCAGAGAGAGCGTCTGGTTGTGCCTCCACTTGGCTGAGGCTGGCTGGATGTTGTGTTTAATGCTCTCATTACTTCTGTCAACAACAGCTGGTGATGAGGAGCCATTTATCACAACTTCAGCTCTGGAAGGGAAGAGAGAGGAAGAGGGTAAATATGATCTGTTAGCATGCCAGTGACAAGGCTAATAGTTTTGTTTTTGCTGGGGCTTGAATATAAACTTCTTCGGAAGAGCAAAATTGCAGTGATTACCTGAGAAGGGAAGGAACTCTATTTATCTTCTAGAACGCACCAACTTCCTCCCTAAGGTGTAACCTACATACAGTCTTGGAAGCAGCAAGGGGGTGATAAACTATCTTTCCCCCATCCCACCCCCTAATGTGCCTTCCAGGGAAACCTAGCCGTCACGGTCAGAATAGTAATACTCCCTCAAGTTACTTTCACAAAACTCCAAATAGCAGTTGCATTAGCAGCCAAGTATCATGATGGCTTCTAGACTTCATAAGGAGAAAACACAAACTTGTATCCTCCCGACCCCACCACTTCCTCCTATGCAACTGAGATGCCACTTCAAACATCTGCCTTGTTCCAGAGTAATGGATGCTGTCTCTCCCCCCCAGCAGGGGAGCTCCCTCACTCATTTCTGTATTCTCCAATGGTCTCCCATAGCAGGTGCTCAATAAATAAGTGTTTGCTGCATTCAAATTTGAATTTTGTCCTGGGGGAGCCTGGATGGATGAAGGAGCTGGCTGGCTCTGTATACCAGGGACACATCACAATTCTGGGTGCACAGCATCTTTCCAGCCAACTCGGGAACCTCAGGCATTACACGCCCTGCCTCAATTCAGAGGCTTGAAATCTATGCTAGTAGGTTTCTAAGAAACTAGGTTACAATTACATCTAAAGGCAGGAGCCAGCCTGCCTCTGCTGGCTGCACGCAGATGCATGTGGGTCACCTCAGAATCTCCTTTGTGCTGATGGCAGAGTCTCCCAGTTCCAATGATAACTGGATTCGTGAGGCACAATTCTGGAGCTTTAAAAAAATCCAAACTAGACACCTATATCCTTTGCATTTATCTTGGAACAGCCAAGTTAAAAAAGAGGAGAGCCTTTTAATGGGGTTTAAACCCAGTGCTGTTTTGCTTTTTGTAGATAGAAAAGAAATTCCTTTGGGGGTACACATTGCCTGTGCACTTTCTCCCCAGACAGCTCCATTCCTCAGTATTCCTGACTCCTCTGGATGGTATCACTTGTCTTGGATTTAAAAACATGTAACTTTAGCAGAGACTAAAAACTAAAGAGTTACTGACCAAGGCTCCTTTAGCATGCAGGCTTAAGGGAAGTCTATGAGAGGAACAGAAGACTTGACCCTTTGGAATTTTTTGCTGCTTTCATGAAAGGAAGCAGAGGGTGGAGTGGAAAGATTTCACAAGTTGTGTGACTGTGGGAAAATCACTATCTCTCTGAGCCTCAGGGTTCCCATTATAGAAAGAGGGTATAGAAGAGAGAGGTACCCAGTGCTAAGGTTCCGGAATTCTGAAGCTTGGGCTTATAAGACTCTAAGTCAGAGCTATGGGGCAGCTGCCATTGGTGGAGAAGAGGGACTCAGAGGCATGGTCCAGCCATAGCCAGTGGCAAGCCTGAATCTGTTGGCTTGCAAAACATTTGCTCGCTCCCCTGCATTGAGCTGTCCCCCGGCCAAGGACTGTCATGGGAGGAAACATTCACAGAATTTAGAACGTGCATTCAATTATCAAGGTTAACATTACTGAGTTGACTCCCTAATCTTTTTAAGAGGTCTCAGCAAAGTTTCTGAATGCTTCATTTTCCATCTTAATGTCCTGTACAAGTGATCTACAATGAAATTGGGTGAAAGTCCTGATTCCCTTCAGAGTCTCCATTGCTCAGCAAAAATGCATTATGAATAAGCTCTTTGGTGGCCCAAGTGCTTCAGAGCGGGTGAACTCTTTTCCAGAAAGTGACTCTTGGCATCTGAGTTTTCCATCTCTGTAGCCTCTAGACCTTGGGCTATTTCATAGACTCTTTTATGGACAGTTCTCCCCTCCCCCACAAAGTGATTAGGGAAATGCAAAGCCAAAGTGAAACAAAACAGATCTATTTGCCAAGTAAGAAGGGCACCATCCAGCAAAGAGGAGAAGCAGATTAATAGCTGCCTTACAGCAAAAACAAATGAACACAAAATCTAATTTACAAACCTATTAGATTTGCTATGTAAGCTGTTCACAGCCGATCTGATTGTACCTCTGCCTCCAGAATTCCTGCAAGACAAAGGAAATGCATTATTTATAAACCCAGCTCTTCTTTGCAAAGCCTCTTCAATTGTCAGGAGATCCCGCAGCCGGCCGTGGAGAACTACAGAGGTGGATGAGGTCTCACTCTCCAAGACGGGCAACATCCTAACCCAGCCACAAACCCAAGCATCTTACAGGGAAGTGGGCCTCCCAGATCCTCCCCAGCCTCCCTCTTGAACACAGTTTAATTCACACCAAGGTTTCCACTTGAGACTTCCATTTGAGCCTTGAGACAAAGTCCTTTAGGACACCGTTCCTTAGCATGTCTCAGTATCTGCTCCCTGGGTTCTCTGGCTTTCGCTCACACATGCTAAGATGTCGTCCATGATGTTCTTGCCAAACTTGAGACACCAGAAGTTCCACAGAGGCAGCAAGATGACCTAGCCGTGCCTCCAACCAAATGTGATAACATTTGGCTTTTGGTGGCAAGAGAAATAATATTAAGTGGTATCACTTTGCAGGGAGCAGGAGTTGGGTGACTAATGGGGCCCTTTGCTTGTTCCTCTGGAGGATAAGTTTGTGAAGTAAAAGTTTCCTAAGGCCCCTTCCAGCCCCACCATCCATTCAGTTCTGTCAGAGTCCATTCTGGACCTGGGCTATCGGCCATGAAGTCTCGCCCTGCTTTGCTATCACCCTGGGCCAGGGCGTGGACGAATCCATCTTACCCTGGTACCTCGCCCACTCTGTGCCCTGTGTACTGGTTTTAAAAAGTTGTATATGAAACGAATTATTTTAAGTTAACTCATCTTTTCCTACTGGTTACAGGATGTGTTGTTTGAGGAGATACCGCTTCGTACTTTCTCGTTTTTGTAAGTCCCACCTAGCCTGCCAGTCTAGGTGTTGGTGCAAAGAAACAATCGAGGTCGCTGGGAAGCTGTGCATTTTAGGGCTAATGTGCTTTAACAAGGACTCTCTGTGGGGGTTAATGCCCATCTCCACGCTGGTCTGAAGTCCGGATGTTTCTATCGGTTTGCGTCAGGCTCAGCATACTTGTAGTATAGTGTGTGTGTGTGTGTGTGTGTGTGTGTGTGTGTGTGTGTAAACACATAGGCTTGTCTTCCTGATATACTTAAATATCTTTTTAAACTTTTTGGCAACAGGCAATACTGTCCTATTTCACAGCCAGATGACCAGACAAAAGAAAGGAAGCTGTGACTTTCCCAGTGTCTCAAATGTCATCATTCCCAGTCTAGTCCTTAATTACACAAAGCATTGTTGGTTCTTCACACTTTAAATTAATACCTACTATTTCTTTTTTGTCCCTCCTATTTCCACTTCGGACAGCGGAGCTCTTGACTTCTAACTCGGGGTCTGGGAAAATCTGGCCAGCTCTGGCTCTGCAACCATAACCCAGTCGGGTCAGGCCCCAGGGGCTTCCTGGGCACGCTGCTGTCCACATGTCACTGACCTTTGATGTCTCCTATTCTGACCCCAGCTCTCAAAATCAGCCTTCCCTGCAGGGAGGGAAGACCTGCTGGGCCAGACATTAAGTCAAGTACAGTAATTAAAAATGTGGTAATAGTTTAAGACCAATGAAAGGTTAATGGAACAAAAAAGGCCATCCAGAAATGCTGCATATAAGAGTTGATATATGATTTTTATAAATCATTATCAATGAGAAATTCAGTAATTGGTTTGGAGTAGTTGGTTTCTGATCTGGAGGTGAGTTTGGGGGAATCGGTTGAGTGTTAACCCTATTCTAGACAGCAAAATAAATTTCAAGTGGATTTAACTAGTGTTTCCCAAGTTTCAGTAGTTCTCATATCCCTATCAACAGTTTGCTATGTTTGTTACTTACCCACACTATTATCTACTTAAATTTTAAAGTGGAATCATCTTTAAAAACTTACTCTAAGCCAATGCCATCTGTGAAAATATAGGTTTGGTACTATGATTATATACCCATTTGAAAAAACATACAAAATCATTAACACAAAAATATTTATCAATGGAATACCTAAAATTGTCTTACATTATTACCAAGAATACTTACAGACTGAATTAAATAATATTTAAATTATAAGTAAAAAATAAAAATGTATAAATAAAATTATTAATAATATAATGTATTATACTATATAGTATATTGCATGTAATACATGTTATATATTAATATATTAACAGTATAAAAATTTATAAATAATTTATTTAAATAATAAAAAATTATAAATTTAAAAAATTTAAAGAAGGCAATCCGTAAGAAATTGGTAAGAAAATGGAAGAGAATATTTATTAAATCTTTGATAAGATATGAGGAATGTGTGTGAAAGACTTTTTAAATTCAGAAGTATAAGAAGAAATTGTAAGAGAAAAATGTAGATGAATTTGACTTCATAAAAAATTTAAAACTCTGCTTATACAAAAAGCAAACCTCAACCAATCCTGGTCAGGGTCTTTCATGAATTCTGAGAGGGCTCCAGCTGAGGAGAGCACCACATGGATGCATCTGTCTGGTTAATGGAACCAGGGTCAGCCAGTTCCTAAAGATGCTCAACAACGGGCCTTGGAGTGCACCTTTCAAATGCAAGTCAACCCATCTGGAGCCCACACCCTTGCCATCTCCTTTATCGGGGTCTCACACTCTGTACAACTATTCCCCTGCCTTACTTACCCCAGAGCCCGGTACTAGACAACTGGGGACAGCCCCTATGCCTCAGAGCCCACTGAAATTATTCAAACTAGCCAATCCTAAGTCTGCTTGCCCTGCCTCACCCTTCCTTCCCACAGAAACCACAGCAAAGGCTCTTGATCATAGTTCCCCTCACCCCCTGCCTTGTGAGCGACCTGGTGCTTCTCCAGGTGGCCCTGCATGGTGTGGTGTGCCCCTCCTCTTGTGATCTAGGAATACAACAAACTATCTTTTCAAAGGCAGTAGTCTCCTAATCTGTTGGCCTGATCATACCTGAATAATAACAAAACCTATATTAAAACAAGGGGGCTTGTTCACTTTCTTAGCCTTGCACAGTACCTTGCCTAACCAGGGCTCAGTAAATCCAATCTAACGTCAACATTACATGGGACTTTCCTTCCGAAGTTCCCTGCAGTTTGCGCGCCGTGTTCCTGCATATTATTTATACCTGAACAAGACACAGTTATACCTCTCAGATATCCACAGAACGGAACCGACCATCATCCAAGGACTCCCAGGCTGCAGATATTTGGCTCAAAATGAATCACATGAAATGGCAAGAGTTCTTTTCCTAATTAGCTTTTGCCTCCAATGTTATTAAAATAAGCTTACAGCCCTTGTGAATGCTGATACCTGCTTGGTCGAATGACAGAGTAAGATGATTGAGAAAATTCTGCTAAAGATAATTCATAACATGCTGAAATCACAGAAACATAGATGCTTAGATCATTTGAATGAGAAAATACATGGGAAAGCACTTGGCACACTATGAGGAACTCTATAAAGCAAGGTATAATATTAATAATAACCACTGTCCACGCTACCCTGCTAAGGATTCTCAGCCAGAATGATGACAGAGGCTGACTACTTTAAAGCTCTACATTTTAGGATGTCTCTTTTTTCCACCAACAACATAATATCCCTCCAAGTAGAGTATACACAGTAAACTAAGACAATACATAAAAATGACATGTTAAAAAAACACACCAAGCACAGTTGGGTCTGTTTTTAGTAAAAAGCAGCTAGTAAACTTGAAAACTTCATTTTTGTTTGGCCTCTTCATCCAAGCCTAGGGTCTTTTGTGGTGTTAGAATCACCCACATTCTCCATTTCTCACTGGAGAGTCAGGCTCAGTAAATGAACTCACAGGCACTGACAGCTTTAATTAAGAGTCTGGACCCAACATAAACAGTTGATTAGACTTGAAAACGGAAGATTAAACTAAAGCACAATTCATGAACTTGCAGATGGTCTCTCCTTCACGGTTTTGGGAGGACACTGAATGCTTTTTTCAATTTGTGTGTAAGCCACTGGGGTTCCTGCTTGTTGACCCCCAAGGGACACACTATAGGTTATGGCCCCACAGTCAGAGGGTGGACAGAAAAGCAAGGAAAGGGGTGATTTATTTGGAGTCCATCATATGAACAGAGCTACAGCTTCCAACAGAGTTCAAGAGTATTTTTTTTATTGTGATAAAATATATCCTAGAATTTCCATTTTAACCCCTTTAAGTGTACACTTTAGTGGCATGAGTATATTCACAATGTTGTGTAGCCATCACTGCTATTATTCTCTAGATTTTTATCACCCCAAATAGAAACTCTATACCCATTAAACAATAACCTCCCAATCCCTCCCCACCAGCCCTCTATCTCTATGAATTTGCCTATTCTAGATATTTTATGTAAGTGGAATCATACCATATTTGTCCTTTGTGTCTTGCTGCTTTTGCTACGCAGAATGTTTTTAAGGTTCACCCATGTAGTAGCATGTATCGGAAGCCTGGCTTTGATGCGGCAGTTCCAAGGAGGCAGAACAGGAGAGGGACAGGAGAAGGAAAGGCCACTTTGAAGTATCGTGTCTGGAGCCTTGAGCACCTGTGATTAAAGCAGGATCAGAGGCCCCATCAGCTGACCAGCGCTTGAAAGGCTCTCTCCTGCCCAGAGCTGACTTGAGTAGGAGCTTCCTGAAGTTGCTGCTGGAAAAATTGAGCTTTGCTGCCCATGTCCTGTCCATCTGAGGGGCTGGTTGTACTTGGCCAAGCGCTCAGATGGGCAAGGGGCCCAGCCTTGGATGATCCAGTGCAGAGCCTCACCATGGGGCTGGCAGTGAAAGTATCTTTAGTTGTCCTAGCACAGTGGGAAACGTGGTGTCCCATCTTTGGACTAGACCAATCTGCATTCCTGATGGGTCTCTCTCTGATTCACTCTGGGCAGGAGGCAGTTGCATGACTTCTTGTCCATAGGCTTGGTGACTCATTCTGGTTTGGTTAGGGGGTGACTCTGAGTCACCCCCTACCACCTGGATACCTCCTGCACTAGTGAGAACTTCTTCCAAA